GCAATTTAATTATCAGCGCATTAAAAGGGTTGCAAAACTAATTATCTTTAAATGAGTTTTAATTTTTTACTAATTTTACTAAACAAAAATTACTTATAACAAGTTTAATCAAAGAAAAAGATCCTTTTGCACTCTCAATGATAAAAGTTTTGATTGTGCCAAAAAAAATATTTTATTATATTCCTAGGATTTGCAGGCCAAGAAGCAGGTGGCGTTTTTGAAAGCGCTGAGAATGCAAAACAATTTGCGGATCCAATCACAAAGTTTCCAATTTAACCCTCCTCGGCTGAGGTTAATAGCGAGAGCCTGATTCAAGTGCTCGGCGCGCGTTAATCGCGGGCAAGGCGCGGTCATTGCGATCCAGAGAGTGCGAAGGCGGCGGCGATTTAATTAAGCAAGCAAGCGGGGGCCGCGCGCGTACAAAGCAAAGCGTTCAATGCGATAATGAGAGGCCTTTGAGGGGCCGGCGGCACGTGATGTTCCACTCAAGAGGCAATAACGGCTCGGCCTTGAATGATGGATTCTGCGCCCCCGAAATTTCGCGCACCTTGCCCGAACCCACGCGAAGGAAATGAAAAAAAAGAAAGTAGTTTTTTGTGTTTCCTTTGATCAGAAACCAACGGACTGGAGAGTTCGTCTTGCCAATTTTCTTTCGAAATCTCCACCCTGAATTTGAAGAAAATAAAAATTAGAAAAAATCTATTTGATCGAAACAAAATTTGATGACAATTCAAGAAGCTTTCCAAATTTTGTTCAATTTTCAAGAATAAGTGAATTAAGTTTAAAATACCTTTATATAATAAGGCAGAATGGCAAAGATTTAACCAATCTAAAGATGCTTCCCACACCTTCTCCAACAAAAAGAAATAAAGAAGCGTTTCTGCGAAAGCTCTATTTTGATGAGAAACCACCGGACTGGAGTTCCTAACGCGAATGCTATTTTTATTTTGTAAGCTCCACCCTGAATTTAACGTCAGAAGTCGTAGAAATTATTAAACGAATGATCAAACAATCTTTAAAAAAAGATAATGATTCGTTATGCTTGCGTAAAAAGTTCTAAGCATTAAAAAAATTTAAATAAAAGTCTTCAATTTTCAAGCGAACTTTTATTCCTTGAATTAAGTCCCAACTTTAACAAGATTGACAAAAATTGTGAGTCAATTAAGATGAAAATAATTATTTCTCGCCAATCTAAAGATGCTTTTCCCACATCTTCTCCATCAAAAACAAATATAAAGAAGCGTTTCTGCGAAAGCTTTATTTTGATGAGAAACCACCGGACTGGAATTCCCAATGCCATTTTTCTCTTTTCCAAAACCCAAAACCTGGGGTCAAGACTGGATTTTTTTTCGAACATAAATCAAAGTTTGCTCTCTCAATCTGTGGCGCGCGCCGTGCGGAAAGTGCAAAAATAAGTCACCGCTCTTGATATTCTCTTCTGACGAAATGTCGAATAGATCGAGGGTGAAAGCAGCTAGGGGGTGTCAAGGGGGCGCGCGCGATTAATGGAGCGTGGTTTGCAGAACAACAACTTGGCAGCTCCATCAGTGTCAAAAGCGAGCGAGATAAATCTTAATCGAGCCGCTCCAATCATCGCCCGCAGCTCACCTGTTTGCTAATTTCACGCCGCAACTGCTTCATTCCGTGCTCTCGCTAATAACTTGCACAAGGTCTGCGCGTGCAGGCAAACCTCGCTTTTTATCTCTCGCACGCTTTAATTCTTTTCAGAGCACCTCTCCATCGATTTTGCACTTCAGTCAGCGGCGGCCTCGTTTTAATCAAATGCCTTTCAAAACATATAGGTGCAGTTTTTGTTCATTTCATTTGTTTATTTTATAAAAATTCAATTGATATTTATTTTGAAATTGCAAAATTTTGATCAAAACTGAATCTCTTCAAGAAAACACTGGGCAATATGAGGCTGGATTTAAAATTTGATTTACTCAAACAACTTTTGAAAATTAATTATTTATTAATTTAATTTGAGCATGACGTTTGCATTAATTTTAGCTTTTCAATACCACTTATTAATAGGGCAATTAAGTTTGGGTTTTTATTAATTTGGCTCTTCCTTGGCATCATTAAAATTTAAAATGTTCAGGAAATAAACCAGCTTTGTAATTATAAACGATGAGAATTCAATTTAATGTATGAAGAGGTATTGTTTTGGAACACACAAAAATCGCGGTGTTGAATTTTAGCATCAAATAACCGAATTTCTGCAAATTATGTATCTAAATCCACAATATTATTTGAATATTTTGCAAGGACGTGATGCTTTCTTTATTCAAAACAAATGATAATGAATATAAAATCAATTTAAATAAAATTAACTGTATTTTTAGAGTAAAACATTTCGGCAAAGTGTAGTTTTGAAGCTTCTGTTTCATTTCAAAGTCCATTATTTTTTACATGAGTGCACATTTTTTTCCTCCTCAGAGTATCGCAAAAACCCACTTGCCGATATGAAAATGTGGACGTTTTATTCATCGCTCTTTTTTGGTCGCCCTCGAAAAAGCGCGGTCAAAAGCGTTTTTCTCTTTGCTCGCGAATAAAAACGCGCTCTCTGACAAAAAGAGCCCTTTTGCGCCGCCCCCATTTCTCTGCCGCAATTACGAACACATCTCGTCGCACGCCTTAATTATCGCTCACTTTATTATTTGCGCGCATAATTGCTCGCTCGCTCCAACTTCTTGAGTGTAAAATGCGCGCCTCGCGGAAAAGGCACTTCTCGCTTCTCTTGTTTCAGTTCATTGACACGCCGCACGATTTGATATTGGGAAACAATCGGCGTGCTGTTGGCGGGCGAAAAATGACACCGCGTCGCTGCGGTCAAACGGGTTGCGCGTCTGTCGGGGCCGGCATTCGTGTCAATTATTGCCAGGGTAAATCGCAGTCGTGTGCAGAACATTGAAAACTCGCTCGGCGCCTGATGACAGGTTGATAACCTTATCAATTGCTGTGCGAAAGTTTGTGAATTGCAGAGGAAAAGCAATTTTTAATAATTTTTCAAAAATTAATTTACTTCCAGTTAAAAATAAAAATTGATTAAAGCAAATTAAAAAAAAATCCATTCAATTTCCCTTGTTTCAAATTATTTATTTTCCAATTTAGTTTTATTTCATCCATTTCATGATATCTTAGAAAAGTTCTTACAATTTAGAATAAGCTTTAAGAAAAAGATAATTTTTATTGGTTAAAAAGCCGCCTTTTTAGGTGATTTTTAGCGTTGGTAGTTGGAAAATTGGTGAATTTTCATAGATAGGTGAATAATTTTTCAACAAAATTATGCGTTTTAAGTTTGTTTAGGTGAAGTTCTTTTGTAAGACTGTAAAAATAGGGGATTAAAATTATAGAAAAAATGCAAATCATTGATTAAAAGTATCAAAATAATAGATTTTATTTGAAAAAAGATTGTTATTAACTGAAAAATAGATATAAAATATGATTGAAATAAGTGATATTCTTAATGGTAAAAATTTTTACATCAAAATGATATATTGTGTATTTTTAGTACATTATTTCAAACTAATAAGTGAAAAAGGTGATCATTTTATCTATATCTACACATCTAAACCGCCAAATTTTAGTTTCATCAATATTTATATATACACATTAAAAGAATTGATTACTTGAGTCTATAAATTCGAAAATATGCATGAAACGAATTTTTATGGTTAAATGCTAAAAAAAATTAAAAAATCGGCATTAATTTATTAATTATTTTTAAAAAAAATTCTATTTAAAAATCCAAAAAAAGTCATTTAAAGAGTTAAAAATTAAAATTATTAAATTCTTAATTTTATTTAAAACTAACTTTTCATTTTGATAGTTTCTAAGTTTGCTTAAAATGAGGAAGCAATTTAATCGCATTGAATTAAATTGTTGTTTTTCCCGTGTTTATTCGGTGCGAAAAGCAACACCAAAAACAAACAGAGCCGCTCTTTCCGTCTCTCGCATTAGCCCGTGGTAAAGTTGTGCCCAAATGTGGGAGCGGAATTCGAAGCAATTTGGCAGGTGAAATATCCACGGGTGCGTCCGTCGATCGGCTCGGCTGCTCTTTGTCATTGTGTCGACCGGCAATTTGGCAAAGCGTTTTGTTTACCAACACACGTCGTCCTCCAGCGGGTTTTGTGTCAAATGCACTTTGATTGAGTTACCGCGCCGCGCGGCCAGTGGCACAATAATAAATTATTAATATTTCCAGTGCACCTGCCAACCCCTCTGTAATGAACACACAATCCATTGATATGCACAGCCGCTGACAATATAATTTAGCGACAACACAGAATTATATCTAAGCTAATTGTTGCATAAGTTGCGAGTTTATTGCTTAATTCGATTCATCTCGCGAACGACAACGGCACGTTCGGACGACCATGATTGTGATTCGAATGCATTTGAGGTGGATTATTGATTTGGTATTGGATTAGTTCGGATTGCAGGATCGGCGCGGACATTATCTCCAGTTCGGCGAATTTAGAGAATAGAAATCTGCACACAGCCAGAACTAATCAAAAGTAAAAAATTTATAAATAAAATCAATAAATTATGTAAAGATTTTTGTTCAACAAAATCCTCCAAGAGAAGTTCATAATGAATGAAAAGGATTTTTTTTTATAATTGCTAGACAATTAAGTGATTAGCTTATTTCTAGACTTTTGGAGAATAATTAATTTTTTCCAGAAACTCAGATTTTTAGGCTTTTTTTTTAATATTTTTTACCTCTTTAGAAGCATAAAACTGGCCTTTTTCAGTGGAAAATAGACTAATTTTCGTCATTAAAATTTAAAATTACTTCGCCAGATTGTTATGAAATTTGAACTAGCAGTCCCAATGAAAATAAAATTACTATGAAAAAAGTTCTTCAGTTAGAAACTTCAATAATAGTAACTAAAAAATCTAAATTTTTCTTTATTTTGCATTTCTGTTATTAAGAACACGCCTTGAGACGCCTATAGTTGCCGAAAATTAGGTTCTAAGTTCAAATTGAAACTAACCTGGTGGTTTCGCTGGGAAAAAAGCTTGGGATGAACTCGGCCATTGCGTCTCGCCAGGCTGGACACTCTGGACAGGATTTTCTCTCGCTTTTCGCCCGGAAAACCCTCATTTCAACCGATTTTTGAACAGAAAATCCACACGGCATGACTTATCACGTGTTTGTCAACCACTATACTGACCCCGCCCACCTCATCTCAGCAAGCAACGGCGCGATTGCGCAATGATTTGCGCCAGGTGGCGCTTCGTAATTATTTTAAGTAGTTCAGTGTTTCGTAAACAAATTATTTGAGTTTTATTTTATATTAATTGCACTGAAGAAATATAATCCTAATGCAATGATATTATTAAATGATTCAAGAATTTCACCAGTAATATGAAATAAATATTGATTTATAAATGTATATTTTTTATATTAAGTATTTTTTTTCTTTCATATAATTTTTATTCCAATTTTGATTAATTTATTAAATTTTTTGCAATGAATTGAACTTTTTTTGCGTAACTATAATTTTTTGCGTACAAATTTCTCCAGCCACTCCAAGTCGGGCAACGTTATTTTGCATATTATGCTCGTTGCTCAGGAAAGTGAACAATATGAGACATTAATGAATGCATTTCAATGCTTAGCGTTTAAACGTAATTTTTTGCCACCTGCATGGTGGACAAAAATTCAATCTATCAGCTGTCTCTTTAACATATTTCATTTAAGATAATCTCATAAATATTCCAATTTATGGTGAATCAGGATAAATAAAGGCGAGTGAATCTGCGACCCTAATTAGATTTAATTAAATTTTTACCTACGCAGTCCACATAACTAATCGTTATCATTAATTACGCAATTGATTGTAAATTGAAAAATACAATGGATTTTCAGTGCAAGCATCGCTACTTTTTTTAAAGAAACATTCTTTATATATATATATTATATGTTGGGATTATTTAAAAATTGATAAAAGAAACTGTAAAAGTACCTTGTAATCCAACTCATGTTCTTATCCTGTGGTTTCTCTCATGGAAAAATCATTGTGATGTAGAAAGCAAATTCACGACCGAGACTGTCAATACGATGTGCGCGAGCAAACAAAACGCCAGTTGCTGGTTCGTATATCAGAATCGCGGGCGAGTCGGAACAAAAGCGCAAAACAACAGCGCTGGCACGTCATAAAAGTTGACGCGCGTCGTTTTAATTCCGTGGGCTGCAAAAAAGCGGCGCGTGAGCAATTTCGGGCAAACGAGTTTTCGGCCCGCGCTTTCTCTCTCACATAATCCTCGCAGCGGCGGCTCTTCACATTAGCGCAAATGTTTTTAATATGGAGTAGGAGAGGCGCGGGATTTGGGCCAAATCCCGGCCGTAACTCGCATTAGCACCGCGAATATTAAGTGAATACATCATCGTCCAACAAGAGTCAAAAGTGGAAAATTCCACAGAGAGCAAGCTAGGGTGTGCAGTGCTTAAGCAATATTTATTATCCGAGTCTCGTTAATTCCGAGCTTAGGCGGAATTGATTTTGTGCCTGCTTTTGCTCGTGCAATGTATAAATTCCACCTTCAGCTACTTATTTCAGTTTAATAGGGTGACACGGCCGTAATCCCACATAATGCAGCTCATATTCCGCCGCCTCCCAAACCAGGAAATAGCACCAACAACTATAATAGAAAAACGCCGGCCACTCTAATCCTTTATTATGAATGCAGCAGGTTTGGCCAACACAGCCGTAAACATTTTGCTCTCCCAGAAGATCCTTTCGTTATTTGTACCTGCCCGAGAGCGACCCATTGATAGCTTTACGGCCGCGCCGTTTATCAATATCACTTGGAAATATCAAATTTACAGACCACTTTCTCGCCGGTGCTGATCCCTTTAGGGACGCTATTCTTTCTGCTAAAGGACAATAAAAGGAAAGGAGGACCTTGTTCTCGTTGTTGCATTGAAGCCGAGAAAGTTCTGCACTAAAAAAAGGAAACCAGCCTGCCTAGTTTAGTGAAATAGAGCTTTTTTAATTATATTTTCTCTTTAATTTAATTAAATTAATGCATTGTTTTCACTTTTTGCGAAGACTGATGTTTCTACAAACAAAATGCAAACAATAAATTAATTTTACATTTTTATTAATAAGTTTCATGCATGTAATTTAAATAAAATTGAAATTAAAATTTTGCTGAAAAAAAAAATCAAAACCCTGATGTAATGTTAAATGGTTTAACTTCCAAAATATTATAATCAATTTCGAATTTTTTTAATTTCCGCCAGCACTTCACTGAACATCAATTTATCTGATATTACCACTATAGCCACTTTAAATATTATCATGCAGAATAATTGGAAATTTCAGGTTTCCGAGCTGCAGCAAGTGAAACTTGAGATTCAATTCGCGATCACATATTTTCCTTCTGTGCTTTTCGATTGATCGGAATTGACGGAATGGCAAAACAAAGCTGATCACAACACACATCACTCGACGCACTCCAAACGCAAACTGAGCCGCTCTTTGGCATTTGGCACCAACACGTATTTTTTGATCAAAAACAGGTTCAACCATATCTGATTGGCTGAGAATTCGATACTTTTTGGTCATTCTTCCCTTCACTTTGAAGAACTGTCACGAATGCCAAAAATAAAATATACGCGGACCGAAAAAGTCAGTTCGGAGAGGCGTCAAGTGAAGTGGTAAGCAAGCAGAAAAATGTCGGTTTTATTGATATTATCGGATATTATGATATAAGATTTTGGTTAAACCAGGTTTTCATAAGAAAATATATCAAATGCTTTATTTTTATTCGCTTTTTAATAATTATTATCAAAGACACAAAAAGACGCTTTATTTTCCTAAGTTTTCCTACCCAAAATGTCTGGTAAGAATTTTAAGAGTTTAAATTTTAAAAATTTGTTTAAATGATTTTGATTAAAATAATAGCAAAATCAAACCGAAGAAATGATGTTTTAAACACAAAATTAAATAAATTTTCAATTCATATCAATTTCCGAATGCTGAATCGTTAGAGATCCATTTTCCTTTTCTATTAAAAGACAATTTTAATTTCCTGCGATATTAAAAATTATGGTTTCACCAACAATGAATAACGCAGAGTTTCAAGTGGATTCAATTTCCAAGAATTTTTCGGGGAGCGAAAATCAAGGTAGGGGAAAAGTGCAAACGCGCCTCAATGCGTATCGTCATCGTGCATACTAAAAAAGCCTATTTATCTATGGAAACGTAAAAGCGTGTGTGTGTGTGTGTGTGTGTGTGTGTGTGTGTGTGTGTGTGTGTGTGTGTGTGTGTGTGTGTGTGTGTGTGTGTGTGTGTGTGTGTGGCGGGACACTTAAGGTGTAAGTGGCCCGCACGCGTAAACTTGCGCGCGACTCGGGTGAATATGGGACCCGAGGGAGCGGCTGCCAGCCTCCGCCGCCGCCGCGGCCGCACCAGGCTTTGCCCAAAATAATGGGCTTTAATAAAAATGGCTCGAGATTTATGGCTTATCGATCTCACCCCATTCAAATATATACACACACACGGCCCGCTAATTAATAATGGAGTGAAAATTGAAAGCCAACGTGTGACGCTTTTTACGGCGGCGACATGTTCAGACTCGCGACTACCCTTCAATTATCCACTGCTGCAATTTTTACTGCCCCAGCGCCCAGTGGTAATTTGCACTTCGGACGCCAATTCAACTTAATTGAATTCACAATGGAGCTGGTACGTTTGAATTTGAATTACATTATATTGAAATTTTCATTTTTAAAATTATATAAACTTATTGATGGAAACAAGTAAAGTTAAAATGGAAAATTTAGCAAAAAAAAATCAATAATGCTAAAAAAATTATTGTTCATTTTTAATAAAATTTCTGTTAAAATTGTTTTTTTTTTATATTTTATGCAAGACTGAAATTATTTTAAATAGTTTTGTATAAAGGTTCTGGTTCAATAAAGATACGATAAAAATTTTGATTAAAAATGTCACATGAGATCAATGGCGAGAAAAAAATTGAACTTGCTTCTGGAATCCGCAATCTTGACTTTGGCGCATTTGTGCCGCAGGCCTTGTTTGCTGAAATATTTGAGCCTCGCGTATGTCTTTCCTTTTCAATAAAGCTGTGCCTGAAAATCAGATCGGATATTGCCGCGCGTCACAACACAAAAGTGGCTCTGTTGTTTCTACCTGAAAATCCGCTTCCCAGCCAAATCTACCTGCGGGCATTTTTCCGTTGAAATTCTTGTTTGTAATTTTTCACCGGCACTTTATTTAAAAAAAAGCTAGACGGTGTGTGAAATGTTGTGTAAATTATTACGTGCACGTAAAATGGAAACTTTTGAAAGCCATTCCTTCAAAAGTTGCGCGCAACATAAATTTTAATAGATAGACAAGCCCGCTAAGCACTCGGGACGCGCGGCTTGCATAAGCTGCGGAAATCGTCTGGGCGCTAATAAATTCTCTTCTGCATTGCAATAATTTACCACTCTTTCTTTTTTGTCCGTTTGCAACAAACCGTGTCCTATTAGGATCGAAGCCTTTGTACAGCACAAAAGAAGAAAATTCTGCGCCGCTGCTTTGTGCGCGCCGCAATTTCTATGTCATTAGGTTTAACAGTGAAAGACGCGAAATTGAATGCAATATCTTTTCTATTTTGCCGATCGGAAAAGTAGCTTTTGCCGATGATAATGCTAGGTAATGGCTTGGTATTTGCAAATGTTTCGCCGAGAGTGCCGTGCGTGCCAATTCTATATTCCAATCAAAAAGCAATTTCGCACTCGTTTTGCTTCATTGGCTCTGCCCAAGTTTTTGCTTCCGAGATGTGCGGAATCGTTCGACTGCATTAACTTCTTCACTCGAAAAAAGACTACTTTTCTTTATATTCAATGAATTTTTCCTCTCATTAAACCAAAGCAACAAAAAATAGCTTTTAGTTGATTTTGGCCACAGTAAAATAAATTGAGTTTTTCCCCAAATCAGATTATTTCTATGGAAGTGAAACGCAAAATTGAATTATTTTAGTTATTATTATTTATTCTTCTTGGTCTAGTATCTTTAAACTGCAAAAAATTTCACCCATTAAATTTGATATTTACATTATAAGTATCTTCATAAAATTTTGTCAATCTCTAAGGAGAATTTGAATAAATTTTATTATCCTCATTTTATAAAAT